AGTAATATTATTATTTAATAGTAATATACATAATATTAAAAAAAAAGAACTTGTCTATACTAGTTAATAAAAATGACTTTGTCTAAATGAGAAACAGATGAAATACATGATTCATTATTGATATTGATTGCGTCACTGTATTGATTCCGTCACTAGACACGGAAAGAATTTTTTCTTAGAATTTATCTTGAAAATATGAATATAGTCGTGAAATAACGTTATTTTGAAGAATTTTAATATATTGTATCAGAACTATTACATTTAGGATAAATTTTGAAAGAAAATTCTCTCCGTGTACTATTTATTTCATTCAAACGTATTTCTTGAAAAAGAAATAGAATAAATTTCTCAGATAAGCGATATATTACATAATATATTACAAATCTTTATAATATTATATGTATATCACGTATAATTTTTATAAGACTAATAAATCTATTTAATAATTTGTCTTATTTAATTGACGGATTATAGAAACAAATCAATTAAAAAAATATATGAATAAAAGTTTATATATTTTCATACTTTTAAAATTTTACTATTGTTAAATATCAAGATTCAAAATTGTTCAAAATTCAAAATAAAATAAAAAGAATTGATAGGCTCAAAAGAATAAATCAAATAAAGATAATGCCTATAAGAGCCAAAACACAGGATGTCCGCGTGTAAAATATTCATTTAATTATTAGATAAAGTATAGACGTTTCGATTCTAAACAGTAACAGCTTTACATCACATGACACGGCTACATGTCATTTAATTCGATTTATAATTATATGTTCTATTCGTTTATTATCAGCGTTTTTCATATTTAGTAATTTAAGTGAATTGCGATATTGAGAAGGATCCGCAATAGGCGAAAAGTACTTCAGCTAATAATTAAATAAATATTTTACATGCTGACATCCTGTGTTTGGCTCTTATAGGCATTATTTGATTCAAAATTGCTTTTATAGACATGGCTTTGATTTATCACTTCGTATTTTAAATACGTGATTAGTAATTCTATCACCGAGATTATTATTTGAGTAATTCAAGCGCGTACAGAATGACATGTTATACCTTCACGTGATATCAATGCTATGTATACCATGCCTGGATCGCATTTCGTTAATTAAATTTACAAGTATCACGGTCTAGTAAAAGAGTAATAATAACATATGAGAGTGATGTAATTTTCCATTGTTCAAGTATAATTTTCTCGAAATGAAGATTTCTGTAAAAACATGAATGTTAATCTATTTTTGACGTACGTATTTTTTTCACATATTAGTTCTATTCTACTTGCAATAGAAAATTTATACAATTATCTGTTTATTATACAAAACATTTGCTGAAACTAAAGATTACAATACATTGACATTTATTTTAAGTATTGTTAAAAATAACTTACAAATGATTAGAATTACTCACTATTGGAAAAGTTGTACCATGTGTCCAACACTGTAACAATGACAAGAAGAATATATATGTTGCTATTGCCTTTGAAGTGAAGAATTATTTCTTTTGGTAAGGTAGTACAATTTTGAACGTTATACAACTCTAAAATAAAATTTGAATTCTAATTTCGAGAATCAAGTTTGGTTCTCATTGTGTAGGATACTAGTCAACAAGAAAAAATCAAGCGCGTATCTTCAAAATTGGATTATCAATTCAAAATTTTATTTGATTCAGAATTGTATCATGTTCAAAATTGTAGCATCTTATCTTAAAGAAAAAAATATATTTGGAAAGAACATTCTTTAAAAGGTTCTCACCTGTTTGATATAAATCTGCGGGTACATTGTCCAGGTACGTATCGCGTACTATTATATTATTTTTAACAAACGGATACTTCGTGACAAGAACAATGAGAACTACGCACAAAATCAGCGTGATCAGAAAAATCCACTTTCGGCGCGAATAGTATAAGTTCGACATTTGCCTAAGTACGTGTTGGTAGTTAGCGTTGGTTTGCATCTCATCGGGAAATGTGTGAAAAGCAATACCGAGTTGTTTCTTCTACGCTACGTAGCCACGAGCAAACGAAATGCGATTCAACAGGAAGGCTCTCACTTATGCGCGGCTTATCATCAACGTTAAACATCGTTTACGCAGTGAGCGGCAGATGTTCGCACTGTTCGCAGACAATTTTTTTTTGAGAGAAAGAACTAACAGTTCTCTGTGACATATTCGTTTATAGCTATTCGGCAGTCTAAACATTTTTTTACGCGCTATTAGCAATATAAATGTAGCAAAAAATTAAGTTCTAGTATAGCAAAAAACACAGTTTCTTTGATAAAATTTTAAATTATCTTGTTTGCTTACATAACACTTTACGAATTCATTGAATTTATAATGACTATTATTGCGCACTACTGAGCATACGATAATGAGTAAGTTAATTATTAGATATATATCGAATACATAGTTCCATCTAAAATTTAAATTAGTATATTTTTTTACGTATTTTACGTATTTTAAAATTGACCTTCACGAAAATCGAATGGAATAGAAAAAAGAGACACAAAAATATAAACTCTGAATTGATAAAAGATCGAAAGATTTTTAACACAATACCATGAAATATTCATAACTATATAGTTATACACACACACACACACACACACACACACACACACACACACACTGATGAAACAATATAATATATATATAAATACAGCACCATAAATGTTGCTTGAGAATTCCTTAATTCTCCGACAAAAAAGTATGAATATTCTGTAGTAAAATTTCAATACATCAAGATAATTTGATGACTAATCGAAAATCGATAAAAATGTTAATCAAGACTAAATAAAACGATTAATTGAAACAATATAGATTCAGTTTTGAATCTAAAAAGTTCATCTAAGTCACGAAAATTTTTCATATATATTTTTTTTAGACGTTAAACATATAAAATATGATTTAATATACGTTACGTATAACTATAAATAAATAAGTTACGCGATAGTTTCTATTCATATTATAATAAAACACATCATGCGTTTCGCATTATTCTTATTACTTACCTTTCTCTATTATTCTTAAAATTATAACATATAATTTTCAATTTTTTCCCAGATAGACTAAAATGCTTTTAAGCGACATCGTTTATGTATTCTATCAAAAGTGATTAATACAACATTTTCCCGCTGCATCTTTTAAAACTTTCGTTTTGTACGTTCTGCCAAGGTCATCATTGGATTGTCAATTATTGTTCGACTGGACGTACTTCTGTCGAATCTTTTACACGTGCTCAAAGAGCATATCACAAGTTCTTTAAAGGGTCAATATCCTAAATCACGATAAGACGGTTGCCTAATAATTTCACAAGGAATCCTTCGTTTCGTGGCACAATGTACGCGCGCGTGTGGCTAGCCCGATGCTACGGTAAACTAGAAGAATATTGTGCGGCTTCGATACGCGAGATAAATTTAGCATGGGCGTTTACGTGAGCGTGTCGTGTCACGGTTCGCGAAGCAACAGTGAACAAAACGGCACCGTTCACAAAAGATGACGCTTTCGGACATCTCTGAAATGAAAGACACAGAAGGAGAGAGAGGCTCACCGCTCGCTGCCGTATTCCGACCACGAATATCAATGAATGCCATCGGCACTAGGCTTGAAGATACTCTTTGAAACAAGTCTATCTGTGTAGGTACACGTTTGCCTGTGTGATGTGCTGATATGCTTATACAGGGTGTTCCAAAAATAAATGAATTTAATTTAATTTAATTCTCGAGAAGCGGTTCGCCTGATAACTGATTACGACAGATAATCTATATGAATTAATAATGGAATTTCTACTTATTATAGACTAAATTTAAATTTAAATTTTTTAAATTAAAATTTAATGCTTACGAATCCCTTTCTTCTTCAAAGAATATATCAATTATTATTGAATATCAATTATTATTGAATATAATTGAGAAAAGAAAAGAAAATACATTTATGAAATATAAATAAATAATTTTTTTTTCTGTATGGACTTTTATAATTTTTTTATTGATGCTATGTAATTTTTAATCAAGTTGGAAAAGGTAAAATAAGTAATGCACAACAATTTTTTAAACAAGGATGAATTTGATATCCGTCAGTTATTAATAACAAACTCTTTTTTTGAAAAATTTTTCTTTAAAAAAATATCTTTAAAAAATTTTTTTAATATTGACATTTAAAATAATTAATAGATAGAATAGAAGTATAGAGTGAAACATTTGAAAAAAACAGGAAAATAGAAATATTTGTTTATTTGCTGTTTTATACGAAATGAAATCGCTAAATGACACACATGTGTATCTGGCACATGTGTACTAGCAATTATGAAAATAATATAATACAGTCTCACTATACACATGCTAAGCACAACGTATATGTGAAGTATAAAGATTAATTCCTTCTCAAGGTGGATTGACTTATCTATTATTAACGAATATTATTAGTGATATTAGACATCGGCATGTAGTTTCTGCTAAGAGCAAAAATACAATGCGTGAAGAACTACTTCTTTATATAAGAAAAGCATCGCGTGTGTATTTTTGCATGCATTGTGATGACAAATACATGAATTGAGGAGTGTATCACACACATTTTTTTCAATCTGCATATTATGATAGATATCCGGCGTTTATCTATATAAGCGATGTAAACACAATAGCCTGAAAGATTCATTGCTAGTTAAAATCAATTGTTATATTATGATTAACCCGATTGTGTAATGATAAGGACCTAATCGGGATGACCTTAACAAGGTATATCTTATCTAATCATGTCCTTATGGTATATTGTTAATTTCTAATCAGGTAACTGATAATATTTCAAGATTGTGCGAATTTTTCTTTCGTTGCTAGTAATGTTTGCAATTTAAACCGATAAGAAGAAAAAAATGAAAATAAAAATCATCTTTTAATCTAATTATTTATTAAAACATCTATAACATTATATATATTAAATCTTTATATATATTATATATATTAATTTATATAGAAGAGCATTGACATTATCGACCGTTTTTAATCATCCAACATGAATATTCAAGAATAATGCAATAATTAATTTTTTACTTTGTGGTTATTCCATACTTCGTAAATGTGTATATATATTCTATTAAATTACATTATATATTTCTGTAAAATTTCATTTTTCTGTGAATAAGAAACAGTCGATAACGTCAATGCTCTTCAATTATCTTGAATTATGTAGAGAAATTATTTAAATTTAAAATTAATTTTTTAAAATAATATTTCTTTAAAATAATATTGTCTAAGTTTAAGCGCACTAAATATATGAGAAACATATATATATATATATATTCCAAGATCTTTATAAATTAAAGAAAACGCTAATCCTGTTTTTATGTAAGATGCAACATATATTGATTTTTCTGACTATTACATATTTCTTCTATAATTGAAGATGATTAGCAATTGAAGATACATAAATTATTTATTAATCCAAAAAACTTCCAGATCTAGAGTTTATTAACATTCCTATTTAGCTTTACGTAAGCGAAGAATACATTTGAAATAGAGACTAAAAGTGAATTGATTTAAACGTTTACGAAACGTTCGATAGGATGGACTTCATCCAACTTCAAATGCAACATCGGAGCGCGCTGGTCTCGAAGACGATATGCCATTATTCTGTCGCATTCGCCACTATATCTCCTTTTTTTTCTCGGTCGACAAACGTCATCGGTTCTCGCCACAGTCATCGACAGCAACGGCAACGGTGATCATCACATGATTTTAGACGTTGTAGCGCTGCTGCATCGTTCGTTTCGAACATGGCCGCGGCGGAATGTGAAACGAAGGAGGGCACCTCAGCGGACCTGTTGAAAACGCCGGTGTTGTCGGACGAGGCCGTTAACGTAATCCAGAAAGATGAGGACTCCGGCATTCCGCTGCAAACACCCTGGACCTTTTGGCTCGACAAGTGAGAGCAAACGCGGTGATTTTTTTCTTTTTCCTGTTCCACTATGCGATGCATTCCAATGCGATGGTGCATCTCGATCTTATCGTGGTCGCTCTTGACATTGTAAACGACGCTTGCGAGAAATGCCGTTAAAAAATCATCAATCCAACATCGACGTTGTTCTTGATCACTGTTCTTGATTTCCCTTTATTTAAATAATCCAACGTGCAGATACGCGCAAAATTAATTTACACATTACGTTTTCATAAATGCACATTATTCTTTTGTTTTCGCAACTGCCATTGCGTCACAGAGGAAAAATTCATTCGTATATATTCATATTTATGTGTTCTATTAATAAATTACGATACATGTATTTATCACTATCATTCAAAAGAATTTTATGCATTTAATTATACAACTATACAGAATGTTCCAAAAATAAAATCAATAAATAACGTTGGATATAATAAATAATATGTAAGTTTTTTCCTCTATATATCCTCGACGTGTTAAAAATTCTTATCTTTCAATGATTAAGGTTTGGGAACGATATGAAATCCGAAAAAATTATATTCGACTATGGATAATCTTAACAAACTCAACAATTTAAAAAATATTTTGAAGCTGTATATCAAATAAGATGTGTGAAATGGATTGATGTCATGGAGAGGTACTTTGAAAGATAAAACATGACATTTTGTTATCTGATATATGTGTTGTTTTATTGCTGCAGTCCGAGAATTTTATTATCAGACTATATACGTATAACTAAACAAAGAATAAATAGTATTATTTTACAATTTATGTAATTTTATCTGTTTCATTTTAATTGAAATTTCCTATTATCATTTACTGAATTTGGAGAGACTTATATCTCAGATGCAAGAGAGAGGGAGAATCAAATTATTCCTATCATAAATTTAAATACGTCGCTAATTCGAAACAATTACTAAATTGACAGAGCTATCCCTGGTACAACCGCTGAGGAATATAAAAACAACTTGCAGAAAATCTATACCGTAGATACCATTCAAACTTTCTGGGCAGTCTTTAATAATATACCAAATGCCGGGGACATGCAGGTATGATAAAAAATCTATATACAGAAAAATTTTTTCCTTGTATATTTTATATTTGTTGTAATTAATTTCGTTAAATTATAATGAAAAAATTTTTTTACAATTTAAAAATATTAATTTTATTTGGTAAAAATAGTTTTATTGGTAAAAATAGTTTTTTATTTGAATTGTTTTAACAAAATGTTTATATATTTCTACGAAAAAAAAACTCAATATTTTTCTGTTTTATTTTTCTGTGTTATTAACATAACAAGTCTGCGTATAATAAGAATAAATTGATAGTGACAAAAAGTTTTATCATTCTCCTATGTACATACCTATACATATATATCATATATGAAATTTTTACTTTAGTAGTAAAACTTTTATTCTGTATGTAGAGTGTATTTTTTATCGTTTGTAAAGTAGGCAAGATTATTATAGACGAGCTATATTTAGAATTGACATTAATTATATTATTGTTTAAATTATATTATGTTATTTAATATCTAGTTATACTATTTGGCACTGTATTATGATATATTATCATAATATTTGTCATTTAATTTGTTATTTATATTTCACAATAAATTATTTCTTTTTGCCGTCAGGTTAAATACAGTTATCATTTAATGAGAGATGACAGATATCCTTTATGGGAAGACAAAGTGAATCAAAAGGGTGGTACCTGGAGATTGAAGTGCCATAAATATGATACCGTAAATATTCTAATACATTTATACGAGCACAAATTTTTATTCAGATAATCTTCTTATTTCCCTGCACATAGAACTTTAAATAATTGATTAGTTTGTATGATATTTGGTTTTTTAGGAACATGTGTGGAAAGAAGTAGTACTTGCAGCTATTGGAGAGCAATTTGTTTCAGATGTGGCGCAGGATGATGAAATTTGTGGCGTGACTGTATCTATTCGTGATAGAGAGGATTTCATTCAAGTATGTATGTCATGAATCAAGTAGACAGAAGAATTTAAAAAAAAAAAGATAGAATTGATCAGATAGAATTAAAAATTATCTTTTTAGATTTGGAACGTAAACGCTGATCTAGTATCAAAAGCTACGGTTTTATCCAAAGTTCATTCTCTAGTGCCTAACGTAAACTTCTTGGGAGAGTTTTATAAACGTAAGTGCTGATATTCTTGTATTAAGAAAATTTATAATTAAAAAATATTTCTTTTTTAGCTCATAAGTCCAATCATGCATACGGGAGACATTAAATATACAGCAACATTGTGATGAAGATTATATTGAATCGTTAAATATATTATATTATATAAGATTATATGACAATTAACGAACATATGTTTACGTGATGTATAAATAATGTTCATATTGTCGAATAATATGGAAGTCCCTTCTGTATTCGAAACACAGAAGATGTGCTGAAGAGAGAAAGAGAGTTATCATTATATATATGTTTTAAAAGTTTGTTACTTGTGAATTTGTTTAAATGCGTATTATTAAATGCATTACGCATTGGATTCGATATCTTGTCGAATCAAATTGCTGTTGTAACCGTTTTACAAACACGAAATATATTTTTATATTTACTATGCGCGTCTGTATTTATATTCTCTCAAAACATAATTTTAAATAAGAGCGCATAACATTTCGAGATATTACCTTGATACAAG